AATATTAAATTAAAACCACAAAACAACACAAAATCAAAGGAGCAGCACACCAGGCATGCAACAATGCAACAGGAGGTGAAGGCAGCCCTGTCACTAAAAGAGCCTCCCTTCTTGATCTAGGCAGGTTGAAGACGAATGAGACATTTATTCAGATAGCTAGGGTTGTATATGTCAATATCAACAACACCTTAAATAGGTCTAGGGAGCAGGCTGCAAGATTTTGTAGGAAGATCGGGAAGGCACTAAGGTCCTTTTATGCTTCTGATCATTAAGGTTTTTAGCCAGAGCCGTCTTTCTCATAGGGCTTAGTGGTGCATCACGCCAGGGCGCTGGCCTCTCAGGGGCGCCCCAGCAAGTGGGGGAGCTGCGCAGCTTTGCCGGTGGCCTCCCCTTTCCCTGCACGCCCGCCAGCTGCGCCCCGCCAACCATAAGGCTAGCGGGCGTGCAGCTTCCCTCCCAAGCCTCTGTGGGGATCGCTCTCCTCCAGTGTGGTGTAGTGGTTAAGAGCGGTAGACTCGTAATCTGGGGAACCGGGTTCGTGTCCCCACTCCTCCACATGCAGCTGCTGGGTGACCTTGGGCCAGTCACACTTCTCTGAAGTCTCTCAGCCCCACTCACCTCGCAGAGTGTTTGTTGTGGGGGAGGAAGGGAAAGGAGATTGTTAGCCGCTTTGAGACTCCTCAGGGTAGTGATAAAGCGGGACATCAAATCCAAACTCTTCTTCTCCTGAGGAGGCTTGGGAGGGGCGCAACTTCACTCCCAAGCCTCTGTGGGGATTGCTCTCCTGCAGCGGCATGGGGAAGAGTTGCGCGCCCCCCCGATGGCTGGCAGTGCACAGCTATGGCCACCCCAACACTATCCATGGTAATTTGGGGGCGCTGGGTGGATATTTGCACCCCTTGCACCGCATCTGCTAAAGACGGCCCTGTTTTTAGCTGGGGCAATCAGAATAAGACCCACATTTGACTATTGATTCGAAACCCTAAAATGTATTTTACAGTGGTACCTCTGGATACGAACGCTTCTGGTTGTGCACACGTCACGTTACAAGGTGCGCTAACCCAGAAGCAGTTGCTCCCGTGGCAGATGAAAGTGATGGATTATATGGAATTGGCTGAGATGACGGGCAGAATCCGAGACCAGGGAGAAGGGTCAGTGGAAGAAGACTGGAAAAAATTTAAAATATATCTTCAAAAACATTGCAATATTAAAGACTGTTAGAAAGATGTTGGAAAAAGAAAATTAGGCAGTTTTGGTAGATATGAGATAAAGGATTAAGTAAAAATGAGCTGATGAAATTGATGAAACAGAGGATGTTTAATTATAATATTTAAATTAAAATAAGTAAATGAAAATAAGGTTGGAAGGATTTGCTGAAAACGATCTGAACTAGAATACAAAATTGGGAGGTGAGAGGAGGTCAAGGAAATAAGTAAAGGGAAAAAGTTATGTAAAGGTTTAATTTGCTTTTGTCCTATTTTAATTCAATGCATTTTTATATCTTTTGTTTTGCTTTTTGTATTCTATTTTATTGTTCTTTGTTTTTTCTTTCTATTTTTTGCTCTGTTATGGTTAAATTTTTCTTTGTATTTTGTACTGTTTTTTTCCCCTCTCTTTTTTTTGTAACTTTAAACTTGGAATAAATATCATTATAAAACAAAAACAAAAAAAAACAGAAGCAGTTGCTCCCGATGTGAACTTTGCCCCGGGATGCGAGCGGAAATCGTGCGCTAGAGGTGCGCGCGAAGTGGGAGGCATGCTTTTGCTAATGGTGCCTCATGTTAAGAACAGTTTCAGGATAAGAACGGACCTCTGGAACGAATTAACCGGAGGTACCACTGTACATAACTGACTTTTTATTTCTGTTCTTTGTATATCGTATTGTTGTTTTATTGCTATGGCTGATGGCTGACGCAAATAAAGATTCATTCATTCATTCATGCTTCTAATCATGTTTTCAAGGTGTGATGGGGACTGAATTTCAGAATGGAGCTTATTCATAATAAACCAAGGCATAATCTATTGAGAGAGAAGGCTCTCAGTTTTGCTGAGCCCAATTCCAAACCAAGCTGCAGCAAGGAGTTACCTTTCTGTATCTCCAAACATCCAAACGCTCTCCCAGCGATGCTACCGGTTTGAGAGCATTAAAAGCTGCAATGCCTTCCGTTCTGCACACCCTTCCTGTCCATATTTAGCTCCCCCCCCCAACACAGCACTGCCCTATTTATCACCCTCTGCTTCATTTCAATGAAGGGAAAGTAGCAACCGAGGAAAAATATGGCAGAAAGACAGGACAGCAGAAGACTTCCACAAACAGCGTCTTTAACTACAAGTCAGAAAGACCTGACAAATTGCACCACCGAAAGTGATTGAAACAGAGACGAGTTTCCAGAAGGCTGGAGAATTGCAAACGAAGCCTTGAGTGCAAGTCACATCCCTGGAAAGTAATTGCAGCAACATTAAAAAAGGGGGGGGAATTCACTTTAACATCTAGAAGAAACAGGAATGATATACAGCGGTGCCCCGCAAGACGAACGCCTCACAAGACGGAAAACCCGCTAGACGAAAGGGTTTTCCGTTTTTTAGTTGCTTCGCAGGACGAATTTCCCTATGGGCTTGCTTCGCAAGACGAAAATGTCTTGCGAGTCTTGAGATTTTTTTCCCGCTCCCCCCCCTTTTTCTAAGCCGCTAAGCCGCTAATAGCCTTTTAGCAGCTAAGCCGCTAAGCCTTTAATAGCCGCTAAACCGCTAATAGTGCTAATCCGCTAAGCCGCTAATAGGGTTGCTTCGCAAGACGAAAAAACCGCCAGACGAAGACACTCGCGGAACGGATTAATTTCGTCTTGCGAGGCACCACTGTATTTGCAATCAACATGGATTTATTAAGAACAAATCATATCAAACTAACCATGGTAATTTCATTTCATGAATGATTTAGATGAATGATGGAATCACAGGACTGGAATGTACCCACTTGCCCCCGGCTTGTCTTAATGCAAGATGTGCATTATGTATGTATGTATGTATGTATAGATTAATTCATGCCAATTCACAAAACGGGCACACTTTCAGATTCATTTTTGTTTGGATTCATTAATACAGGACAAACAGTGCGGCAATGTTTTCAAAAGAAGGGACATGGATTCACAATTACCTGCCCCTGAGACCAAGGTCATTCATTTTGTGAAGCTGCTTCCGTAAGGTTTCCGGTTTCTTGTTCTCATCAGATTTTGGGTTTTCACAGTTATTGCAGAAGAGCTCTTAAAATCCTGTGCCTGTGATTTCTGGTTCAGAATTATTATTGAGCAATCTTCAAGGCAGTGAGGAGCAGTGGCGTAGCGTGGGGGTGCAGGGGCGGCCGGCCGCACTGGGCGCAACATCTGGGGGGGCGCGCGCTCGCACTCGCAGCTCTCTGCCCCTACCTGGCTCACTCACTCTCTCTCACTGCAGTGCTGGCTGTGCGAATCCGATCCGAGCCGCTGGGTCGCCGCCCACTGTGGAGGGGGTGGGTGCCAGGCGTGTGGTGCGGAGAGAGAGCGAGGGACTATCTGGGGGAGGGACAGTGCAGCGGCCGCCCAGCGCAGCGCTGAGCGCGGGAGAGAACCACACCAGACCAGACCAGGCAGCAGCAAGAAGAAGCTGGCAGCGGCGGCAGGTTAGGGGTTAGGGGGCGCAAATTACTTGCCTTGCCCCGGGTGCTGACAACCCACGCTACGCCGCTGGTGAGGAGGGTCCGTGGCAGAGCCCTTTTGACCAAGTAGGAAGAGGGGCTTTTCTGGGTCTTCGTCCCCACCCCCTTTTGTTTTGAGGGGTTTCCCTTCATTTCTCCTCCCATTAATATCCAGCGTTGGTGGATAACCCTGGCACATTTTCTGGATCTTTCCAGCAGTTTCTCTCCTCCAGTAGCCATAGACCTGATGTAGGATTGCAGTCTAAGTAAATTAACAACCAATTATTTAAAGTACAGTGGTACCTCGGGTTAAGAACTTAATTTGTTCTGGAGGTCTGTTCTTAACCTGAAACTGTTCTTAACCTGAGGTACCACTTTAGCTAATGGGGCTTCCCGCTGCTGCCGCGCGATTTCTGTTCTCATCCTGAAGCAAATTTCTTAACCTGAGATACTATTTCTGGGTTAGCGGAGTCTGTAACCTGAAGCATCTGCAACCTGAAGCGTCTGTAACCCGAGGTACCACTGTATTCAACTGTCTTTTAAAATTTAAATATAATATCTCAGTTCAGGTGATATTTTGCATCTAGTTAAACTAGGTGGCAATTTTTTAAAAATCCTAGGGGTTCGTATAGTTTTCTCATGGTCTGCTTCTGCTTTGTTTCATATCTGGTGTAACAGAAACTCCCCCCCCCCTGTTTTTTAAAAAGTTGCCTATGGGGGTGGGGGTGGGTAAAGCTGCCACCGGCTACCACCATAGCAGACACCTGCAACCCATAAACCAAGAAGTCATGCCAGACTAAACTTATCTCCCTTTTTGATAGCTCTACTAGCCTGATAGATCGGGGGATTTTTGTGGATTTAGTATACAGTGGTGCCCCGCAAGACGAACGCCTCGCAAGACGGAAAACCCGCTAGACGAAAGGGTTTTCCGTTTTGGAGGCGCTTCGCAAAACGAATTTCCCTATGGGCTTGCTTCGCAAGACGAAAGCCCATAGGGAAATCTCCGGGGACCTCTTTTAAATGCTAGCGGTGGGGAGCAAAGCCTTCCCCCTCCGGCCTTCAGAAGAGGTCCAGGAAGGCTGGCGGGGGCCGAAAGGCTTTGCTCCCCACCGCCAGCATTTTAAAAGCCGTCCGGGATAGCGGGAAGCGCTTCCCTGCTATCCCGGACGGCTTTGAAGGCAGGAGAGGTCCGCGAAGCCTGGGCGCGCTGATCTCAGCGCGCGCAGGCTCGGCATGCCGGCAACTCTCCGCAAGCAGCGGCAGCGCTGCCGCTGCTCGCGGAGAGGTCCGCGAGCCTGGGCGCGCTGATCTCAGCGCGCGCAGGCTCGGCATGCCGGCAACTCTCCGCAAGCAGCGGCAGCGCTGCCGCTGCTCGCGGAGAGGTCCGCGAAGCCTGGGCGCGCTGATCTCAGCGCGCGCAGGCTTCGGCATGCCGGCAACTCTCCGCAAGCAGCGGCAGCGCTGCCGCTGCTCGCGGAGAGGTCCGCGAAGCCTGGGCGCGCTGATCTCAGCGCGCGCAGGCTTCGGCATGCCGGCAACTCTCCGCAAGCAGCGGCAGCGCTGCCGCTGCTCGCGGAGAGGTCCGCGAGCCTGGGCGCGCTGATCTCAGCGCGCGCAGGCTTCGGCATGCCGGCAACTCTCCGCAAGCAGCGGCAGCGCTGCCGCTGCTCGCGGAGAGGTCCGCGAAGCCTGGGCGCGCTGATCTCAGCGCGCGCAGGCTCGGCATGCCGGCAACTCTCCGCAAGCAGCGGCAGCGCTGCCGCTGCTCGCGGAGAGGTCCGCGAAGCCTGGGCGCGCTGATCTCAGCGCGCGCAGGCTTCGGCATGCCGGCAACTCTCCGCAAGCAGCGGCAGTGCTGCCGCTGCTTGCGGAGAGGTCCGCGAAGCCTTGGCTGGACAGCTTTTGAAGGCAGGTGGGGGGACAAAGACTTTCGCCCCCGCCAGCCTTCAGAAGAGGTCCAGGACCTCTTCTGAAGGCTGGCGGGGGCAAAAGTCTTTGTCCCCCTGCCTGCCTTCCCAGGGGCTTTAAATTGCCCCGGACAGCGGAGAAGTCCTCCGCTGTCCCGGGGCAATTTTAAAATGCCGCCCGCCAGCATTTTAAGATCGCCCGGACAGCGGAGAAGCCCTCCGCTGTCCCGGGGTTTTTTAAAATGCTGGGGTGGGTGGGAAGAAAAGCCCTTGTCCCCCCCAGCCTTCAGAAGAGGTCGGGGACAGACTGTCCCCGGACCTGGTCTGAAGTCGGTTTCCCTAGGAACGCATTAATTGATTTTCAATGCATTCCTATGGGAAACCGTGCATCGCAAGACGAAAAACTCGCAAGAAGAAAAAACTTGCGGAACGAATTAATTTCGTCTTGCGAGGCACCACTGTACCTTCATTTTAGCAAGGCTTTCCACAAAGTGTGTCGTGATGTTATTGTCAGAATGTGGGCTAGGCAATGCTGATGGCGGGGGGGTGTGTGCTTGCTGGACCAAACCATGCTCATCAATAGCTCCTTGTCATTCTGAGACGTGACAAGCAAAGGGCCAAAGGGCTCTGTCCCGGGTGTTCCACACATTTATAAATGACTCGTTGAAAGGAAAAGCAGGGATGCTCATCAAATTCTCAGATGACACCAAGACGAGAGGGATAGCCAATGCCTTAGGAGACAGAAACAGGATCCAAGAGAATAGGATGGACCCAAACAAACAACATGCATGTCAACAGATAAATATAAAGCTCTTTTTACAGGTAGGGAAAATTAGATCCACAAACAGAGGATGGATAACGTGTGATAAATACCTAGGTGACAAGCTAAAAAAAGGCTAACACAATTCTAAGCTGGAGTAGGGAGTTCAGATCATTAGAAATAATGGTACTGTTCTAGTCTGCTTTGATCGGACCTCATGAGGAATACTGTGCCTATTTCTCGGAACCTCAGCAGAAGAAGGTGGAACAAGTCCAGAGGAAGGTGACAAAGATGATGAAGGGCCTGGAAACCCAACTCCTATGAAGGTTGAAAGAGTTAGGGTGTGTTTGGTCTGGAAGCGGGACCATTGATAGGTGAGAGGAGAGCCATCATCAAAGATATGAAAGGCTGTCACACAACCAGATTTGTTTTCTGTTCCCTCTACGGATGCAATAGATTACAAGAAAACAGGTTTAGACTAAACATTAGGAAGCTCCTCCTGACTATAAGAGCTGTTGTATGGCCATGGAACAGGTTGCCTCAGAAGGTAGTAGACTCTCTTTAGCTAATGAATTGTAAGTGTTGACCATGTAAAGGTAAAAAAAGAAAAGAAAAGAAAGGTAAAGGACCCCTGAGTGGTTAAGTCCAGTCAAAGGCAACTATGGGCTTGCAGCACTCATCTCGCTTTCAGGCTGAGGGAGCTGGCGTTTGTCCACAGACAGCTTTCCAGGTCATGTAGCCAGCAGGACTAAACCGCTTCTGGTGCAACGGGTAACCATGACAAAAACCAGAGCACACGGAAACTCCATTTACCTTCCCGCCACAGCGGGTATCTATTTATCTACTTGCACTAGCGTGCTTTTGAACTGCTAGGTTGGCAGGAGCTGGGACAGAGCAACGGGAGTTCACCCCGTCATGAGGCTTCAAACCACCAACCTTCTGATCGGCAGGCCCAAGAGGCTCAGTGGTTTAGACGACAGTGCCACCCGTATCCCCCATGTACCAAGGATGCTGCAGTATTGGGTTGTCTGGGAGTTGGGCTAGATGACATAGCCCAACTCCACCTTTGTGGCAGTGTGGTCACTCTGTGCTTCCTTACACAGAAGCTCTTTTGCCCGTTTTGCTCCTCATCTCCTAGTTTGGAGAGATCTTTGTAGAGCTCTTCATAGTATGCATTGGTTTTCATCACGGAGATTTACCATTCTGAGTTCTCTTGTTAACATGCTAGGCATAAGAATGTTATTTTAATGTATTTATATTGATTCGGTTTTTCTTTTCTTTTTTTAAAGATATTTATTAAGATTTCCAAGGTTTTACAAAACACTCAAAAAAAGAAAAAATACAAAGTAAAAATGTTTAAAAACAATTCTTTCCTTCCATTACTTGACCTTCATTTGCTTATTTCCAGGACCTCCTCACACCTTTCTTTTTTGTATTCCAGTTCAGTTATTTCGTTCAGCAAATCCCTCCCCTCTTTATATCCTAATCATTAGTCATAAAAATATTGTAATTTTAGATTTTTACATATTACATAATAAACCCTTTTTTCATTTTCCCTTATAACCTTTCAGCTAAAGACCACTTAGTTTCTATCCAACATCATTCTAACATTCATTAATTTTACAATATTTCTGTAGATAATCTTTAAACTTTTTCCAATCTTCCTCCATCGACTCTTTCTCCCTGGTCTCGGATTCTGCCAGTCATTTCCGCCAATTCCATATAGTCCATCACCTTCATCTGCCATTCTTCCAAGGTGGGTAGGTCTTGTGTCTTCCAATACTTTGCAATGAGTATTCTTGCTGCTGTTGTGGCATACATAAAGAAAGTTCTGTCCCTCTTTGGCACCAATTGGCCGACCATGCCCAGGAGAAAGGCCTCTGGTTTCTTCAAGAAGGTATATTTAAATACCTTTTTCAGTTCATTATATATCATTTCCCAGAAAGCCTTAATCTTTGGGCACGTCCACCAAAGGTGAAAGAAAGTACCTTCATTTTCCTTACATTTCCAACATTTATTATCGGGCGAATGGTAAATTGATTCGGTTTTTCATGCTTTACCACAAATCACCTTGAGTGTAATGTCCCTGGCAAAGCGCTATAAAAGGGAGGCAATCAGATCTCCTCACCATCTTGATCACACTCAGACTTTTCAGACTGAATGTATACTTGCTATATTGAGAATGTCAGTGTGCTGCAGACTCGAAACTGTGGGAAAGCCCCTGCGTATGTTTCTATATCGGGTTCTATAAACTGTGATCAAGTTCAATTTGTGCAGGACTTGGAAGACAACCTACTTGTCTACAGCTTCCTATAACATCTATCCAACCATTTCACACTGAACATGTGTTATAATTCTGCTTGTCTTGCAACTGTCGGAGAGCCAAAATCGTATCGAGGAAGGTCTGATATACGTACAATTTGATATACAGATGTTGTTTTGCTTTCAGAATAGTCAGGGTTGTCTTGTAATCTCACTTTGTATGCTTCCCTGCTATCTTCATGGCTCACACAGCCTACGAGGAAGTTCGGCTCCAGCCTCATGAAGCTCACCCACAATAAATGTAGGGATATCTCATTTGGGACCTGGTGTTACGAAGGAGGGTGGTGCCTTCGGCCGGTGGGAGTTGTGTGCAAGGCAGGAAAGCACCATTTACAAAGCAAATATCAAACCCTCAAATTGTCCAACAAATGAAATGATACAAGATGTAAAAGATGTGACCCTGGCCTTTACTGGTGCCTCTGAGAGAACATTCCACTATGCCTTTAAGAAACACGGGATTCTCTGTTGTTTCTGCCATGACAGACCAATATTGAAACGGTTCTGGAAGAGTGCTGATGTATGAGGATTCTTAGGAGATACAAGATGTTGATTCTATAGAGTCACTTGAGGAAAGGGCAGCTCTTTTTGCAGCACTGTGCCCATTTGAGCTAAAATAATAATAATAATACCGTAATTTATTATTTATACCCTGCCCATCTGGCTGGGTTTCCGCAGACACTCTGGGCGGATCCCAACACAATTTTAAAAACACCAAGCATTGAAAACTTCCCTAAATAAGGTTTCCTTCAGATGCCTTCTAAAAGTCAGATAGTTGTTTATTTCCTTGACATCTGATGGGAGGGCGTTCCACAGGGCGGGTGCCACAACCGAGAAGGCCCTCTGCCTGGTTCCCTGTAACCTCACTTCTCACAGTGAGGGAACTGCCAGAAGGCCCTTAGAGCTGGACCTTAGTGTCCGGGCTGAACGATGGGGGTGGAGACGCTCCTTCAGGTATACTGGGCCGAGGCCGTTTAGGGCTTTAAAGGTCAGCACCAACACTCTGCCAAGTTACATGTAACCCTATTTCAGCCGCCTAGTGAATATGTACATGGATCATGTACATAGTGATTACATACATGTACAGGCGAACTAATGCCAGTCTACTGGAAGAAGCAAAGATCCAGTTTCGAAGCAATGATTCTTCAACATCAACTTCGTTGGAATGGTCAAGTTGTGCGGATGCCTGATTGTTGCCTTCCAAAGCAACTACTCTATTCTGAACTTTAAAATGGAAAGTGTAATGCTGGTAATCAACAAAAGAGGTTCAAAGACTCTCTCAAGGGAAATCTTAAAAAATGTAGTATAAACACCAACAACTGGGAAACACTGGCCTGCGAGCGCCCCAATTGGAGAACATCCTTTACCAAAGGTGTCAAGAGCTTTGAAGACACTCGAACTCAGGACAAAAGGGAGAAACGTGCTAAGAGAAAGGCATACTTGGCAAACTTTGTGATCAACTCCCACCCGGAAACCTATGTCCTCACTGTGGAAGGATGTGTGGATCCAGAATTGGCCTCCACAGTCACTTACGGACTCACTGTTAAAACCGTGTTCATGGAAGACCATCTTTAATCGACTATGAGGGATCGCCAAAGAAGAAGATTATGTACATGG